TCATCAACTAAGTTGGGTAAATAACTTGATTGAACTTCCAAATTTCTGTCCAACCATATCTCCTCTTCTTGAGCTTGAAACCTTGATCGTGGCTCCAATATATCTTCATTATTCCATGAGGAGTTTGGATAATTTATCCCATCAAAGTTGTATGTATTGGGGTAAGAATTACACTGCTAGCTATAAAAATCATAGGAAAAATCAACATGTTTGTTAGATGGTTTAAAATAGCAATCGGAACTAAAATGCTCTAATTCACACCATCAACAAGTAATATTAAATTGTTTTATTAGCCTTCTTTAATTCAAACTTTTCAATGACTGCTTGAAATCATTCAAGTTCATTATCGTCAAGTTCTACTTCTCAATTGTAGTTATTACTTTAACTTGTGACCTTAATTCTAGAGCAAGACATTGATAATTCATATCAATGTCTATGATAACTACATCCATAATTAGACTTGCAAAAACAAAAACAAAAGTAATAGAAAAAATCATAGTAAAGAAATGAAAGAAAAGAAAATGTTCAAATTAAATTTAGAATTAATCAACTTCAATATTAATTAAATTCAACGATCCTCGGCAACGGAACCAAAAACTTGATCTAATAAATTCATTCTAGTAAGTGTACTAGTTGCTCCAATTAATATAATGATAAGAACAATGTCAAACCTATGAGGATTATAATTAACTAATACCAAAATAATTAATCTAAATTTATTTGAACAATAAAAAATGAAGAAACTTTAATTAAAAATAAAAAAAATAATTAAAATAAAACTAACTAAGATATAAGGTATTAAGGTATTGATTTCATCATAACCAGTTAACATAGATTTTAGATTGTTAACACTTTCAAGATATTACTACTCATGTGACAATGGGATTTTCTATTCTATTTGATATATTTTCTCAAATCATACCAAACCTATTTTCACCTATTAACCCACTATAACTCTATGTGAAGTTACATAGATAAAGATGCATTATGTTATTTGAAATCCCTAGATGATATAGAAAATTAAGTCCACCTATCACTAATGCTGCACGAATTACGTTGATTCATCTTTGGTTTTCATTCAATTCATGATATATATTATTAGAAACTACTACATGAAATTTCCTCTCGATCTCAATTATGCTCTCCATATCAATTTAATGGCGATCAAGCATTAAAAAGCATTAAGAACAATAATATATACTCTCATGAAATAGCAATCTCAAAAGTACAAAAATCACAAAAACCTATGTTGAATTGATTAGACTACATCGTAACCCTAATTGGTTAAATCAGTTCATAATAAATGTAATAAAACCTAAAATCATAGTTATAAACATTTGAATATCAAATAATAGATAAAAATAATATAAGGAAAAATAAAACTCAATTTGAGGTGGTTGAAATTCTTAATCTTCTGTTGTTGATAAATCTCCGATCTCAATCTACAAGAGTGCTTCAAAGAGGGCTGCTAACAGCCTCACAAACATCTCCCAATTCTAGAATTGAATGAGTATTTATAAAATTTTAAAAAATCTAATTCGAATAGAAGTGGAACCGACATAAAAATAATAAAGACCTATCAACATCCTAGAGAAGATGCTGACACTTTCACTGCATCCACGTTGAAGAGCCCATATCGGGATTTTGGCTTTTAAAGCAATTTTGGTTAATGGTAAAATGACAATCCTGGTCTCTAACTTTTGAATTTTGTGCAACTTAATCTTCAACTTTTTGATCTTTACAATTTGCTCGTGAAAATTATGAATTCTTTCAATTAAGTCCTTTCCTATATAAATAATGAAAATTATGTAAAATCAAGTAAAATCTCATAAAACTCATCCAAATATCAATAATATCAAAGTAGAAATTTCACATTAATATGTATATAAATTTAGCTCATCAAACTGCATAAACCAAGACTTGGAAGAAATAGAATCATATTACGGAAAGTGGGTTTGATCCTTAAATGCAAAAAAGAAAAAAAAAAGTGTTGGAGGAAAGCAATGAACAAGCTATTTAGATCATTGACAACCCCAATAATTTTTTCAAACCACTAATGGTTTGGATAAAATAGCAAGAACCCTCAATGTTGCCTAACATCTTAAACTGGGGCTTGATGTGTCCCAATTATCTTGAATCCCACCACTAGAAATTGTTGAATACCATGCAACTCAACTTCAAAGCTAGTCATTTTTAACTAACATGTTAATGATTTAGGGATAATATATTGTTGTGTTATTGTTAACTAATGTGAGACGCATGATTGACTTCATTGCCTCTTGGGATCCTAAGTGAGAAAACTGCATAAACTAGGATTTGGAAGAAATAGAATTGTATTATGGGAAGTGGGTCTTGTCATTAAATGCAAAGAAAAAGAAAAGTATTGGAGGAAAGGAAAGTTCTGGAAATGTACAACCTATTTAGACCGTTGACAATCCTACAATAACTTCTTCAGACTGTTAACTGTTTGGATGAAGTGGCCAAAACCCTCACCCTTGCTTGAAACTTTAAATTGGGGCTCAATGCTTCATAATTACCTTGAATCCCATAACTAGAAATCATTGAATACCTTGCAACTTACCTTCACAATTAGTTACTTTTAGCTAATATTTTAATGGTTCAGGGATAATATGTTGTTGTATCACTATTAACCAATGTAACACATGTAACCTACTCTATTCACCTCTTAGGATGCTAAACAAGTGAATGGCATAAACCAAGACTTGGAAGAAACAAAATCATATTCTGTGAAGCGAGCTTGTCCTTAAATGCAAAATGGGAAAGTGGATCTTGATTTATTTAGACCATTTTTGGTCTAAAAATTATGAACCATGTGCCAAAATTGTTGGTAGCCTTGCCATTTCATATACCAAATTCAATCTAAACAAAATAAACACAATTTTTAATTGACTTTTTTTATTTTTGGGTGTATTACTGTTTTGATACTTATATTCAAACCAATTTTGGTTTGGAATAATTTAGCGTGCAGCTGCTAATTTTGGTGCCCATTCTATACATATTGATAATGATCTAAAATAATGAATTACAAAGACTTGACCAATTAATTTTGGTCATTAATTTAACAGACCATTTTATGGTTTGAAATTATAGTTTTTCATATCAATTTTTATCGATTTGGAATATGACAGTCTGAATAACATATTTTCTAGTAGTATAAGGGTTTTCTATCTTAAAGAGAATTTATCATCATATCCTCTTTTAGGAGTTTCTCTCTAACCTTTCTCAATGTATCTCATCAGGTTTTACCCATGGTAGAAAAGAAAGACGACATAGATTTGAGTTTAGATGAGTTAGGATCAATTATAATACTTATGTCACCTATTGACAATAAGGTTAGGAGTTAAGGTCCTTGACTAATCCTTTTGCCAAAGTTTCATTGGTTGTTCAATGACAAAACAGCATGCGCTAGCTTCAACGTCTAAGTTTAACTTGGTTTGAAAGCATTAATTTTGTGTGTATGTGTGTACAAGATAGTGCTTATTAGTCTTATTTCTTAAAAATTATGGAAAAAATCATTTAAAATAATGTCATTTTGATAAAATATCATAAAAAAAGATCAAAAAAATTTAATTCATATTTTAAAAATAAAGTAGTTTAATATTTTTTAATGAAATTTTATTAAAATAATATAATTTTAAGATATTTTTTCTCTTAATTTGTAAGAGAAAAGGTGTATGTGTACTTTTCCATATAACCATATATATGTATCTATATATATAGTGTTTTTAGTAGAGCTTGATAGTGGTAGGGTTTTTGGATTTCCCAAAGCTACCTTAGAGGTTATTAGGACATCTTTTTTAAAATAAAACAGAAAGGCCTTAGGGTCTTGCACTGAGCTTGTTTGGATTTTCGTTTGTATTTCCGTTTGTATTTCTTAATTCTTCTTACATGTGAAGGTGGGGAGAGCTAGGAGGTGATCATTTATGCTCTATCTCTCCCCTGTCAAAAGTTTTTAATAGTTGTAAACAAAATTTTTGTTGAAATACCATTCTCTGCTTTTTCAAAATAATAATAATAATTATTGGTATTTTTAGCAAGATAAAAATAATATTGCCTATCAATGTAATATCTCTTTATATTAAAAAAATATTATTATTTTAAATTTATATAGTATTACTTGTATATGTTTTGTAGTTTAGACTAGGTAGGAGTCTACCAAAAATAGAAAAAGCCCCTACTTTTTTGAGAAAAATATATTTATTCATCAATAATAGAAAAAATGCAAGGGTTAGAAGCCAATTTATGTAGTGTAGCACACTAAAGACACTACAAAACTTACTTTAAAACCCTAACTTTAAAAGTGTAGAACACTTAGTTAAATATTTGATAATAAAGCGATTAAATGGTTACATAGGTTTTATAGCCAAACCTGGTTTTTGATCTAAAAGTTGTAAGTTAACATAATCCACTAGAACTAAAAAATGAAGAGGTAATTGTTGAGATAATTTGTGATTAAAAGAATTCTAAGACAACACAATGCCAAGACAACATGGTACCTGCCAATCACCTCTCTTACTCTAAATCTTTAGTGAGAATAATATCAAATAATAAAAAAAACTCAGACAAATTATGGCTTGAGACATGAACTTCTACGTAAACTAACCTTAAGGGTAGACAAGAACCTTGCAAGAAAACCTTTAGCAGTAAAATAGAATCATGAAAAAAGAAAAGCGAAATATAGAATCAAAAAGAGAAAGAGAGGGGGGAAAATGATAGCGGGGAGTAGGGGAGTGGCAGCCAGGGCTCCGCTCCCCTCTAATTTGCCGTAATGTCATATAATGTTAACTAAAAAATGCTTCTTTAGATTGTATTATATTATAAAATATTAATTATTGAATTGGACAAGCACTAATTACTGAATTAGTAAGGGCTACTAATCATGGAGAAGGTAGCCCATTCCACGGTAAAACACTGTTCTCTACTTGCGTTCTACTTACATTTTCACAATATATATGACCATTTTCACAGGCCCCAATGGTCCAATATGAAAAGACGCATTTGATTATTGCTAGCAGATGCCACTTCTCTTGTTTGGTCGCGGCAGCTTCGAATTTCAAACACTCGCGCCCAACTGCAGCTTGGGATACATGAGCAAAAGCCACCGCAGCCGAACAAGTGAACTCAATCGGTTCTCCGATTCTCCCAATCCAGGTTTAGCAATGAAGAACGAAGGGAAGAAGAGAAACAGGGTCACCAATTCTAAGAAGAAACGCCAGTTGGGGGTCAAAGAAGGAGAAGAAGAGGCAGAGAAACGAGCAATAGATGACATCGAGGATTTGTTCAGCGGAGAAGAGACACAGAAGATCAGGGCATCGTTGTTGGAGTGGTACGACAAGAACCGGAGGGACCTTCCTTGGAGAAGAACGAAGGGGGATGGCATCGAAGGTGGGGGTGGAGAAGAAAAGGAAAGGAGGGCATATGGGGTGTGGGTATCCGAGGTGATGCTGCAACAGACTAGGGTTCAGACTGTAATAGACTACTACAACCGTTGGATGCAGAGGTGGCCCACCCTTCAAGACCTTGCCCAGGCTTCGCTTGAGGTACATTACCTTTTTTCGATTCATTGATCATTTTATCAGTGGATTATGTGTTTCCTGCCCTAAAGTGTGTTTCTTTTTCATAATTTGTGCAGGAGGTGAATGAGATGTGGGCAGGGTTGGGATACTATAGAAGGGCTCGGTTTCTTTTGGAGGTGAGCTGTTGTTTTGTGGTTCTACCTTGTATTGTGCTCTCCTTGCTGTTTAATTTTCGCTTTTAATGCTATTTAACAAAATGAAGTTTCTTCCTTTATGTCTTCTGAAACCTTTGTTAAGCTTAAGTACCTAAAACATGTGAGCTTTTGCCTATCTAAGGTTCACCTGTTGAATATTGGGGAAGGAATAGATAAGTTGGGCTGCAGTTGTACGGCAGAACAGCCTAGAAATGGGAAGACAACACGTTGAGTGAGTTCAGTGAGAAGATTCTTAGATGATAATGATGTTCACATTTTGACATTTTATTTGTTGCTCTGTACAGGGGAGGGCTTTGTACCTTTTTGTTTAATATGAAGATCATCACAGGCAATAATGGCTTTTGATTCCTAAAATATGGACTTTATACTATTTGCATCCTCATACAGTCATACTTTCCTTGTTCTCTATTACAGTCCATGGAGTTTAGGAACTAGTTTTCATGTGCAGAAAAGTGCTAGATAAATGTAAAGATGTCATTTTTACTTAGAGCGTATATGTTTGTTTTTCCTTATCTTAAAATGGATATGAGTCCTTTTCCTTTTCAAGGTATGATACAGAAATTATAGCTTAAATATAATTTTTATCTCATTGTGGCCTAAAATTTATCTCTTGTGATGCTTGTGATGGCAGGGAACCAAGATGATTGTTTCTGGGTGGAGTGAATTTCCATGTACTGTTTCTGCACTGAGGAAGGTTCCTGGAATAGGTGATTATACAGCTGGAGCAATTGCTTCTATAGCATTTAATGAGGTAATTATGTTGTCCAGATTTCATGTAAATAACTTAAAAGGGACTTTTAAAAGTAATTATTATTTCAGGTAGTGCCAGTAGTTGATGGGAATGTAATAAGGGTGCTTGCTAGATTGAAGGCTATTTCTGAAAATCCAAAAGACAAACTTACTATTAAGAACTTTTGGTGAGTATCATCAATATATATCTCTAACATCTGACTGTTTAAATTTTTCTGAAGTCTGAGATAAGCGTTAATGGTACTTGATAGTATTGATTATTAGTGCTGTTTTATTCAGTCTTGGAAATTTCCCTTAAACAGGAAACTTGCAGCTCAACTTGTTGATCCTTCTCAGCCTGGGGATTTCAACCAGTCTCTTATGGAACTGGGTGCAACCTTATGCACTCCATTGAACCCAAGCTGCTCTTCATGTCCTGTTTCAGACCAGTGTCGTGCATTTTCAGTTTCTAAACATGATGACTCTGTTAAGGTGACAGATTATCCAATGAAGGTCTTAAAGCCTAAACAAAGATGTGATTTTTCTACTGTTTCAGTTGTGGAGATATTTGGAGGCCAAGATATATCAAAGCAAAACCAATCTGACAGCAAATTCCTTCTCATCAAGAGGCCAGATGCAGGTTTGCTTGCTGGTCTTTGGGAGTTCCCTTCCGTCACATTGGATGAAGAACCTGACTTACCAGTGAGGAGAAAGAATATTGATCTCCTCCTGAAGAAATCATTCAAACTTAACCCCCCAAAAAACTGTAGCATAATCTCAAGGGAATATGTCGGAGAATTTTTTCATGCTTTCACTCACATCCGTCGTAAGATTTATGTGGAGTTGTTGGTCTTACGTCTTAATGGTTTGACACACTTTCTTTCTCTCAGATAGTGATTACTTTATCTTTCAACTAGTAAATATTTCTTTTATGATATGTCTTGGCTTCCATAATATGATTGGTATCCTTTGTTTATTTTATTTGGCATGAAGAACAAATGCATGACCTCTTTAGAGAGCAGGACAAAGAAAATATGCCCTGGAAGTGTGTGGACGGTGAGGCCCTTTCTAGTATGGGACTGACATCTGCAGTAAGAAAGGTACTGTGGCGATAACCAGAATTTGTGAGGATGAAATGGTGATGTTTTAGTTAGCTTTTTTTGTTTAACATATCCTTGCTCCACTTAGAAATAAATGACAAACAAAATTTTTCTAAAATTTTAGAATCATTAACTTTAAAATTGGTCATTCTGTGCAAATTCTTATTTGAAATTGGCAGGAATCAACTTGAGAAAACTACCTTTTATTTTTCTTTAAAGTTAAAATATCTTTTCTTGTGCCTTAGAAAGGTGAAGTAAATTCTCAGTTTTCACTCAATCCTGTTCATCTTGTGTTTTCATTGATCTGCCCTATGATCTATTGTTGTCTTCTTAATGCAGGTATATTCTATGGTTGAGAAATTTAAGCATAAAAGTTTGTCCGCAGAGTCTATGCCATTAAGAAAAAGAGCTAACCTGAAGCGGGAGTGTTCCTAATCATATTTGGTTGGAGTTAATGAGAAATGTTTCGCCAATTGCCTTCCATTCTGTCCAGCCAGCTACAGACTGGTTAGGTAATCAGTTCATGCACATTATCATCAGTGAATACTGGGCTCTTCATTCTTCACTCTAGGTTTGTCCTGTCACTCCTGTGCATTAATTTTTGAAGTTGTAAAAATGTTAATATGTCCATAATGCTCCAAATTGGTTTGAGTTACCATGGCAATACCTTCCAGTTCCTTCTAGGTGGAATTCACTGTAACTTACTGATAATTAATTTTGATGATAGAAGCCCTGTTTGCTGTTTGTGTTCCCATGGTTTAGCATGATGGCAGCACAAGGCACTTGCAGTTTTGTTGTAGTTTTGAAGTGATTTTGTTAGTTGTAGATTATAACTTATTAGCAAAGCAAAACAAGTAATCATGGCCTCTGTCACCTAGTTTGAAAGTATCACCTTCGTATATCATTTTTTGTTTTTCAGGAGGGGTTGATTAACTAATTCAGGATTGACTGTAACGGCATATAGTTCTCATGTGTAGGCTATCTGTAAGTGTAGTGGACCTACTGGTGGCATGTTGGGGTAACCTCTTCTCCAAACCTTCTGTTACAAAAAGAAAAAACTGATTTAGGATTGTAATTGCAGTCTTATGAGCGTTGAGTGTCTGAAATCAGCAACTGCAGCTAGCATTACCCTATACTTTAAATTTGGTGAGGGAGAGTAGAAGAGACCAAAACACATCCTATTAGATCATTTCTGGTTTGGATAGAGTGCTACTAATTATACAAAAGTACTTTCACCAATTTTCTTCTAGGGAATAACTAGGATTGTGAGCTATTATCTACTTCATCTTGAAGTGAATTACAAGTAGAAAATAATCACCACTCTCTTTACAATATACTTTATTTTTATGGTTTGACTGAGAAATAATCTTTTTCCAACCAAACAAACCTTTGGGCCGGGTTTAGTTATAACGGAGAAAATTTTCCTCCGTTTTTTCTTCGCTTAGAAGGAGAAGGGAAAAGGTTTATCTCATCTATAAGAGGACAGGAAAAACAAGAGGGGGCGACCTTCCGAGTTTTTCTTTGGCAGCTTATGTTGGTGGACCACTAATTTGCTCTTATTTTTCATTTCCTATTCACAAAAATAAAACATAAGAAACCAGTGGCACAAATCCTTTTGAACTTCTTGTGGATCAGAAATCTCTCTTCTCTTCAGTTCAATTCCGCAATTGTACGCTAAAGAAAAGCAAAGAATAAAATTGAAGAAAAAAAAAGATTGATTATTGAAAAAGGAGCAGCTGGAGAAAAAAATTGAAACATCAAGAGTTTCATAGAAATCAATACTAAAAGATGGCAGTACTGGGAGGAAGAGCGATAGGGCTTTCGAGCTTTCCATCATCGTCTTCATATCTTGGTCGCAATTCCAGAGCAACCACCTCCTCTTCATCCTCTTCCATTATATCAATGGTATGTCCCTATACATATTCAATTTCAGTTTTCAAAACTGTAAGCTCATATTTCGAATGTTAGATGGAAATAAATTTTGCTTCTTAGCAGCATAGTCTCAGTAAATTGCCGATTTTGCGTGGAAATATGGCCTGCTCTGCCGTGCAAGAGTCGTCCAGCCCTACAGGTAGTTTTTCTTCAAGTTCTTGTTTCTGGAATTTGAGTTTCTCGTACTAAGTTCTGGCTGTTTAAATGGGAGAATTTGCTTCTTTCGCATTTAGCAACTGCCGAGACAAAGGCAGCGCCTGCCGCTGAAGCAAAGCCAGCTGCTGATGCTGAGGAGGAGAAGGAAGTAAAGGCAGCTCCGAAAGCAGCTGCAAAAGCAAAGCCCAAAGCTGCAGCAAAAGCTCCTGTGAAGCCACTGCCACAGATGATGGAGGACGTGATTCCTTCACTGAAAGCCATACTCGAAGCTCAAGAAGATCTCTCTGAAATTCAGCTCTCCTTCAAAGACAACAAGGTTTCTGCTCCATTTCCCTCCCTAATTCTCACCCAAATCTCAACCCTACGCCGTTCAAATTCATTTTAATTGAAAAACCTTTGTGTTTATTGAATTGATATAGTTGGAGGGTTCATTTCTGAAGAAGGGCAATCCCTATTCCTTCTGGGCTTTCTTCCCTAATGGAGTTCTTACAGGTATTTTCTCATTTCATGACTACTAGAAACATTATGTTTCTGTTATTGCATCATATAAAACAATCTCCGTGTGGACAGGTCCAAAGGGGTTTTCATTATCCTCATATGGCTCGGAAGCAAGCACTGTTGAGCCATTTCTCATTGACGAGAAGAAAATTACAGCCAAACATGTAGTATTCTGGGTAGAGAAGCGTTTGGCAGCACAAGGAATTATCCCTGTATGGAAAGAAGAATAACAATGCATTTCTGCCTAGTAAATATTCCCTATGGGAAAAGAAACAACCAGCTGTAAATTTTGTTCTAATTCATTCCACATATGATGCAAGACAATCCACCATAGTATCATTTTTGTTTTGATCAGTTAACTCTTGCATATTATCAAATCAGTCCGATTCTCATATGCACAGTTCAGAAGGCATGCATGTATATGTGGAAACAAAACATGAGAGATTTATGATCAACTTAAGAACAATGATATAGATTAAAGACAATGTCTGGATAATGTTTTTAAGTAAATATGAAGATCGCCTAAAAAAAGTAACATTCATGAGAAATTAATTGAGAGATACAATAGGCAGTCGGAGCACAAGGCCTAAGACCTTACTTGGCAAGTACAAACTCAGATACCAATGATTGTTAGTGGTGTTTCAATTGTCAATTTTGGCATTATGCATTTGATGACGAAGTTCAGCTAAGAAGTCCATCTGCGAGCCAGATGAAGATTCAACATTGTTCGTTGAAGACATCATCTGATGATAGTCAATCCAGCATGTCAGACAGTTGGGGAGCACAAAAAGCTGATAACATGAGAGAGAGCAGTTGTTGTATCTACCTGATGGGGAAGACTGGGAAGTCCTAAATTTCTCCAGGTTGAATCACTGCTTCCTGAGTACATAACTGGTTTTTCTAAACCAAGAAAGAAAAAAATGATAAACAACATTAACCATTACTTGTCCCTTTCTGCCACCAACGATCCAGTATGCTACAATACAAATATTTCAACTTCCTTTTACCAATAATAATTATAAGGTCACAGAAGGTAATTGAGAGCCACACCAAACATGGTATCAAACCACATAGGCGAAATGGATAAAGGTGGAACAGGATGGAAAAAATAATAAAACGAAATTTACAGAAAAGGGGCAAGGGCTAGAAAATTTGCCCACAAGTCACAAATGATAAAATCTAAGGAAAAAAAAAAGAAGAAGAAGAAAGAAACACCTTGGGCTTGTTGGTGACCTCCTCTAACATCTCTTTTTGTTGTTTACAAGCTATAAAATCTTGTTAACCTTTAAAGTGATTCTAATTTTTAAACTAAATTTTCACATCACACTGGACAAAAAGTATAAGAGCTTCTATATATGGACAAGGTTTGACAATGGGTATAAAAATGAATCAAAGATAAATTAACCCCACACCTCACTCCGCAAACAAAAAATGAGCAAGTTCATCTATCAAACACACTGAAAACTCACAAATCAATTACAGAAAATATTTTAAGTTCCACTCACCAGATGGGTTTATTGATGGGTCATTGCAATGTTGCATAGCTGCTGCCCAGCCTGCATTTGAATGGCAAAAGGTAGACATTTCAGGTCACATATTTACAAGCAAAGATACCACTCTTAAACATCATATTATTTTCAGAAAGAATCCTGGTGACACTCCTATAGGAAATACTTTGTAATGAGAAATAAACATTTGTGGAAGATGAACATCATTCTATGCTTTGAAACCAAGTCAGGATTTAATATTCTTCAAGGTCACCAAGCAAAACACCTATCCATGGAGAGACACAGTTACAATATCACTGATGCATAGAGAGACTAAAAAGGAATAAATGAATTAAGTGCATCTTAAAAGAAAAAACAAAGTAAAAACATACGATCTTTCAAAAGCTGAGCGGCTTCACTTCTAGAACACCCTTCTAAAACTATTAAACCAGGTCGAGCATCCTCGTTTGGGATATTGCCTCCGCCAATGTCCCCGTGATCTATGGTAGGATTGTTTCTTGCTGTAACAGGATGATTTTTCTCTCCATCATTCCCATAAGAATTGTTAGTCCGATCAAACCGATCTGCAAAATTAATTTAGGTCTTAGTCGATGTATAGAATTACGCATCACTGTACATAGAGATGATACTTGAAATAAAGCAATATCAACCATTTCATCAAGCACTCCCTTTAGAATTAAGAACCAAATCAATGCAGAATAGAAACATTTTGCTAAGGGATAATGGCCTAACTCATTAATCTACATTTACCAGTTGACTTGGGAGAAAAATTCATAGGAAATGTTGACAAATTAACATTTAAATGATAATAATTGGATTTAACATTCACCACTGTGTAACAAAGAAAAAGATAGAAACATAAGCAGAAATCACACAAAGTGAAAGTTGATACAAGTTTACACCAGAAATATATCAAGCCACATAAATTGGCTGTACTTCATTGGATAACTTGAAAGAATCTTTTATCCAAACCAACAAAAGAAAAAAGGCATGAAGCTTAAGATCAGCTAATACATAAAATTTGTCACATTCAGTGTGTAAAGATCAAGGCACAAAAGGAAATATATTAAGCCACATAATCAGTCGTACTACAATTGATAACATGAATCTTTTAACCAAACCAGCAGGAAAAAAAAAAGGGCATAAAGCTTAAGTTAAGATCAGGTAACACATAAAATTTGTGACATTCAACATGTAAAGAAAAAGGCATGGAAGGCTTTGTTTTACTTTAGCAAGCATAGAATCATGAATAAAACCTTTAGGTGCAACACCCAAAACTCACATGGAAGGATTAATAAAAGTTAGGAGTATCCACTTACCACAATATAATAAAAGCCTGTGTTGTTCATTTCCCTACTTTTTGCAATAACCCTATGTTCACTATTGAGTAGTATTTCTATTGATCACAAAATCAGCTATATTTGAGTTATGTTCTGACCTCATGTTCAAGTTAGGTCTTTTCCAACTATTCCCAATTTATTCTAGACTAGGTTGGAGGCTTAAACACCCCGAATACAAGAAATTCATACCTCTAATTCAATACTTTTCTATAGTATATGAATGATAATTGAAAATTTTCTTGTGGACTAGTTTATTAGATAATTTTTTTTTTTCAATTTTCATATATATACAATAAAAAAGTATTGTCTAAAGATTCATGGAAAAAAGTAAAAGAACTTATATTTTGAAAAAGAGGGAGTATACCTAAAATCACTTAACCCAAATTTCTCTTTGCACAAAAGTTTGATTTACCCAAGTGCCAGTCACCTTGTACACTTTCTTCCTCTTAGATCAAACTAATCATAAATCTAATAACCAAGCTATAAACGTGCAAATGAGAACTGAAGGATTGCCAAAAAAAAAAAAAAAAAGGAGAAAAAAAGATGGGAATTAAAGAAAAAACAAACAACCAAAAGAGAGAAGGGGGAAAATCATATTGGTAAGTGAGAAACTGACCTCCCGATTTCCGCCGGTTGAGAGAACGATTCCTGAAATTGAGAGAGAAGAAACCGAGTATGAAAGTCTCAATATTGTGGAGCTAAAAGGTTTAAGTTTCAGATCAAATGGAAGAGAAGCTATACCGTTGATTGGGAGGAGCATAGCGCTTGACGGTGGAGGAATCTGCAGCTGTAGGAGTAGGGTTTTCAAGCATCTTTGTGTTCTGGTATTCTGCCTTCTTTCTCCTGTTCTCCGTTTGTTTCTCCGGTGGATTTTCAGGTCTAACTAAAGTCTCAGCCCTCAACGCCCCAACTCAATTAATTCTGTTTATTCCCTTCTATTCATTATACCTAGAGCACTAGAATTAACAAATGTACCCAATAAATTAGTACTCTTAATTTTTTTTTTTTTGAACGGGGAATTAGTACTCTTAATTTTAGGGGTAAATATGTTTAAACTTTAAAGCACTAATTCACCTTTTTAGAGTTTATTTTTTATTTAGCTTTTTAGAATTTTTTTTTTTGTTTCAATAAAAGAGATGACTAATTAATTTTTAAAGACTAAATGAGGACGATACTTCATTAATGTTATATTGAACACTAAAAATGACAAATAAAATGAAATAAAACATCCATTAAAGTAGAATAGGGGAAATACAATTTTTTTATCACGAGTTTATAAATCATCTCTTAGAAAAAAATTTCTTTTTGAAAAAGAAAAACTAGAAATATTTTTCAATCCAACCTTTGTTATATTTCTTAAGAAGAAAACCTTTTTTTTAAGGGGTTGAATTTCAAAAAAGAAATTAATTTCTTGTAATTAATATACAATGCACCATAATATTATCTAAAATAATTAATTAATGAATTTTTCTCTAATTGTGCCTTTATATGATACTAGTTAAAAATAAATTTATTATATTTTTTATTAAAAATATAAAAATAAACTTTAATTTTGTTAACTTTCTAATTAAAATCACTTATATGTCACTGATGTTAAAAATAAAATTTATTTTTGTAATTTTTACATAAATTAATAGAAAAAATATATAATAAATAAAATATGACGTTATACCCTTAAAATACATGTTATAAAATCCTAATTTTAAAATACAAAATACATAAGAAAAGAAAAAACACTGTACCCTTAAAAAAACCATTTTCAAAGCAGTTGATTTACAGCAATATGTCATCAAACAAAGATAATCTTATTTTATAACTTGAATTACACCGTACTTTATAGCATAATTACATCAATGTGTCTTTAAACGAAGATAATTATAGAATTGGGCTTTCAGGTTCAATAATTTGTCTCCCAACCTTACGTGCTTCACTGTACTTAATCAAAACTTTGATTCTCACCAATAATTTAAAAAAAAAGTCCCCTTCCTCCAAATTCTCCCATATTCAAATATAAAGAAAAAACAAAGATAATTTTATTTTATAATTTCTACTATATTATACTTTAAAACATAAATAGGTAAGTTAAACTTTTAATTTGATCTCTTATTTATTATACAGATCCCTAAATTACTGTATAATAGTTGAGGGATAAAATTGGGGTCTAATCTTGAGTTAAGGACATTAGTTTTTAGGTGGGGCCTACTCTTAATTATATGTAAAGAATATACTTACTTGAAATGTCATTTGGATCCCAATCACTAAAATATTTATTTACAAGATTTCTAGGTAAGCAAAATAATTGCCAATTAATTCTTATTTAATATTTAAAAAATAAAAAAGGGAATGTTTAATGGCACATTTTACCACTTAAGAAAACGTCGGTTAAAACCTATTTTAGCCATTTATAAAAGTTTATAGATTTTAACATATCACCTTATATTACGAGATTTTTAACTCCTCACCTATATGAATTAAAGAAAATAATCCTTATTTAAGGTTAGGTTATAGCGTTTTATTATTCTATTAGTTAACTGTTAACTCTGTTAGTTGACTATTAGCGTTTAGTTAGTTTTTTGTTAATGAAACTAATAAAAAAATTAAATTTAAATTTCATGTTTTCTATAACGAAATACTAATGGATGCTAACAGTCAGTTAACAGAACTAACAATCAACTAATAGAACTAACAGAATATTATAACCTGATGTTAAGTGAGGGTTACTTTCCTCAATTCGTATAGGTGAGAAGTTAACAGTATTATAGCATAAGGTGAAAGGCTAAAACTTATCAAAGTAAAGGGTTAAAAATAAGTTTTTGCCAAAAACGTCTAGGTGGTAACAAAAGTTCAAGGGATGTTTAACAATAGGTTTAACGGAGGATTAAAAAGGAGTTAAACAAACAATCTTTAAGGATTAAAATGGGAAACTTTTTAAGTTCAGGGGACTAAGTTAGGGGTGTAACCTTAACTCAAATAATTAAATTAATCAAATTGTTAGTTGCATTCAATCATAATCAAAGCCTATACATAAAAAATTAATGTTAAATAAATAAAATTAAACCCTTTTTTTATATAAAAATAAGATTAAACCTAATTGACCTAACAAATTTCTATCTCCTCCCCCTCCTTGTTTGGCCATTCTAGAACCCTCCTCTGATTAATCACACAGTGTAATACCCCAAAATTTCCTAGAGCATATAAGTTGAGTTAGGGACTTAATAGTGAGAAAACATTATTAATGGACCTAATTGTCAATTTTTCAAACTTTAAAGGGGTTAAAAAGGTGTTTGGATAAGGCCGGCTGACTCATTTCCTTGATCTTTTTCTTCTTTCTTTCTTTCTTTTCAACATTTTCGCGCGTCTGCTCTGTTTTTCTTCTCCTCTGCAGCCGAACATCACCAGCCATTTCCAGCGCCCCCACCTGAAAATTTGGTAAGAAAACTTGATGATTTTTGTTCTCCTCTTGCCCAAGAACAAGTCTAGAACTTAGAACTTCTCTCTCTTGTAGAAATTTTCTCGGATCTGCTGCCTTCTTCCTTCTCTGCCGTCGGCTGTTGCTGGGTATAAGCTCCGGTTTTTCCTGGTAAAATCAGCCCAGAAACTCCTTTTTTCAACCTTGATTTATGTTGGGTCACTCTAATCTTGTTGTTCCTTCAATTGCTAGTGGCCCGTGGAAGTTCCCCAATTTTCCCGCTGGCTCCTTCCATACCCGCCAGCTCCAGCTTTGCTTGCTCAGCATTTCTGGTAAGTTGGCTTCTCTAATCTCCGGAAATTGATGGATTAATTGTTGCTTGTGAGGTTAATTGGTTGAATGGGGGCTGGGTAGTCCGAAAATTTGCTGGGAATAAGGGGGGGTTAATTTCCGGTAGCCTTGCAATGAGTTTTGAGTCAATTTGTGTAGAAAATCCTTAATTTGGCTGTTGTATGTGTGTCCGAGAGAAAAAGAGGAAATTCTCGAGACTTGCCCATTTTTTTTTGTCAAGGCCGGTTCTCCCAAATTCTTGTCCATGAGTTTGAAAATTGTATATGTGTAATCTTGTAATTGAATATACATAGATAAATACCCAATCCCAGTGAATGCCCAATATTTGGATAGGAAATAAATAAAGAAATAAAATTTCCTTATAGATATTAATTTGGGAATATTGTGATTAGGTCCTTGATTGCCCCGTGATCTTAGCACTTGGATTAAGCCTTTTGTCTGCGTGATTAAGGTAAGTAAATTATGGTAAAGCCCGTAAATTTCGAAGCATATTTTAATTGTTTTCTGAGATGGTGGCGAGGTTTAAATGGATTTATTTGCATTTGAGCATGATTAGAAAGGGAATTTTAACTTTTATTATTTTCCTTCTTTTCTCGAATTGAGCATGCCCACATGAGATTCCTTGGTTTATTTTTGAAAGTGAGAACGATTGTGAATCGTGGTTTCTGTAAATCTTGCTTGGTTTTGTCTCTGATATGGTCGTGTAATCGTGACCCCGCTAGTGGGGGAGGTTACAAACGCTAGCACATGTCGACATGTTCGTGATAGGACCGGTTCGCTCGTGGCCCTACTAGTGGGGATTGTACACTAGTACTCGTGTGCCTGCCAGTGGGAACTGGCCATGACTAATAGAGGAGACCACTACGTGATTTTATTTTGCATTAATGATTTGTTATTGAAACGCTCTGTTCTTGAAATGCTCTGTTCATGTTTCAACCGATTATTTGGCATGCTTTAAACTTTGATGTCGGGCCCCCATGTTTACTTATTGAGATATTTCTATCTCACGGTTTCCTTGTCCACCATTTCAGGTAGTGAGACCCGACGCGTGGGAAGCCCGGGGGAGTGACGAGCTAGACAGCTAGGCACTTTTGGACTTAGGTTTTTGTAGCTAAGCCGTTAATCACCTATGCTTGACTTAGAAATTTTTGTGTACAGAACTCCCTTAGTTATAGTCACGACTGTGTAAATGAAGTTATAAATCCTTGTACATTTTGACAAGTAAATAGTTGGAAAGGAAAAAAAATTAGATATTACCTGAGTTTCTAAATCTGAGTTAGTGATATGAACTTAGTAAGTTCCGAGCCTTGTGCATTTGTGGGACCCCCTCACAAGTGCACGGCGTCTGCCACGTCCCCGGATTTGGGTTTTGGGGCGTGACAGATTTTGTGGTATCAGAGCCTAGGTTAATTTAAGAGCCTAGGATTAGTCTAGAACTTGGCTAGCTAAGGAATGATAGGAACGTGGTGAGGCATGAGAGTGGGGTTGATTAAAGGCGCTTATGTGATTCTTTTCTTGATACGTGTTGGTTCTTGTGTTGTGATATTTTTGTGCTGCTTAGTCCCGGAAGTGGAAACTTGCCGGGAAATTTCCCGTTGGAGCATTTGATTAATAATCTATGAACCTTCTATGTGGTTATAGATGGCTCCAAAACGGCGTGGACGCCCCCTAAAGGGTAGCCATAAGGATCAGGGCACGCCTCCGATCCCAGAAGCTAGTCCCCCCACCCAAGCTGCTCCGCAGGAGGGAGGGACGAGTAATCCTCAAGTGGCCAGCTTTGTTCAGGAACTTATGGCTGAGATAAGACGCCAAGTATCTCCTGCCACAAGTGTACCACCTCCATCCCCGGTGGTCTCTACTCCTGTGGCCCCTGCTTCGGTTTCCCCTATTCCTATCTCTTTTGCTCTTGCTGTGCCTAGCTGGAAGATTTATACAGAATTTCAGAAGTTGATGATGAACAAGGGATTCGATGGTACTGCAGGTTTTGAGCAGGTGGAATCATGGATTACTGAGGTGGAGCGGGGATTCTACCTGCTGCATGTTTCTGATGACCTTAAGGTCAATGTAGGCACTTACATGCTTACTGGGAAGGCCTTAACTTGGTGGGAGAGTTATCGGAAGCTGCACCAGGGATAGCCTGAATTGAGCACCTGGGATGGTTTTAAGAAGGTGTTCATGCGGGAGTACATACCGGACAGCAAAAGGCGAGAACTGCAAAGAGAATATGCAGATTTAAAGCAATGTCAGGTACTGTTGAGCAGTACAAGGAGGAGTTTGACCGCTATCTGCGTTTTGTGGGTAGCCAAGTCGGCGATGAGCAAGCCAAGGTCGACAAATTTCTGTGGGGCTTAAATTCTGACATTTATTTGGCGGTAAACCAATTTAAACCCGCCACTTACCGAGAGGCTGCGGACAGAGCTATAGATCAGAAGAAGGCTATGGCTAGAGTCAAGTCCTCAGGGCAGTTTAGTGGTGGGTCATCCCTTGGGAAGAGGAAATTTGATGGGAGCCGTCGATCCCTTTTCCTTGCACTGCCTAAGTCTGAAATCAACAAGGGTTCTAAATGGTCAGGAGCCACTAAAATAGCGAGTCAGGCATCAACGGCCCAACGTGCTCGTCCTACTCAGCTTATTTGCCGTGCTTGTGGGAAGGTCGGGCACACCCGGGATCAATGCCACACTGCTACTGGGGCTTGCTTCAAATGTGGCAAGCAGGGACATCGGATTGCAAATTGTCCACTGCTAGACCCCAAAGCCCAGAGTACTTAGCCTACCTCTTCGCAGAGTTCTACCAGTCAGGGAGCGCAGAAACAGAGTACCGGGGTTCGGACAAAAGCCCAGCAGGCAAGAGTACAAGTGATGACTCATAAGGAAGCTGCGGCCACCGACGTAATCACGGGTACCTTGCCTGTTAACTCTGATTATGCGCATGTTTTATTTGATTTGGGTGCGTCGCACTCTTTTATTGCTCGATCTTATGTTTTGAAACGAGCCTTGCCTGTTGATACCTCTGATTGTGAACTGCATGTGGACACCCCTTTAGGAGGGGTGATGACTACTAGAGAGGTTGAATTTGCTATTGACCTTGTTCCTGGCACCGGACCCATTTCCAAAGCACCATGCCGTATGGCTCCTACATAATTGAAGGAGTTAAAGGTCTAGCTAGAAGAACTCCTTGAGAAAGGGTTTATACGCCCTAGTGTATCACCTTGGGGAGCTCCAGTGTTGTTTGTCAAGAAGAAGGATGGGAGCATGAGGCTATGCATTGATTACCAGGAATTGAATAAGGTGACTGTGAAGAACCGGTATCCCCTTCCTAGAATTGATGACTTGTTTGACCAGCTCAAGGGTGCTTAGGTATTTTCTAAGATTGATCTTCAATCTGGCTACCACCAGGTGAAGATTAAACCGGATGATGTGCCAAAGACTGCTTTTCGCACCCGTTATGGTCATTATGAGTTCATAGTCATGCCATTTGGCTTGACAAATGCCCCTGCCAGATTTATGGATTTGATGAATCGGGTGTTTAGCAAGTACCTAGACCAGTTTGTGGTTCTCTTTATTGACGACATTTTGGTATACTCTTTTAGCCATGCTTTTCATGAGAAGCACTTGAGGACAGTCCTCGAGACGTTGAGAAGGGAGAGGCTGTTTGCTAAATTCAAGAAGTGTGAATTTTGGCTAGATAATGTTGCATTCTTAGGTCACGTTGTGACTAAGGATGGAATCTCTGTTGACCCCCAGAAAATTGAGGCCGTGGTTGATTGGAAGAGGCCAAATAGTGTTACAGAAATCCATAGTTTTTTGGGATTGGCTGGTTATTACCGTCGATTTGTGGGGGATTTCTCTAGAATTGCTTTGCCCATGACTCGTCTTATCAGAAAGGACACCAAGTTTGAGTGGACCCCAGAGTGTGAGAAGAGCTTTTTGACCTTGAAGGAGAAGTTGGTCACTGCTCCTGTACTTGCACTTCCAATTAATGGGGGAAAATTCACTATATATAGTGATGCCTCTAAAAAGGGTTTGGGATGTGTCTTAATGCAAAAAAATAGGGTTATTACATATGCTTTTTGGCAGTTAAAGCCTTATGAAGAAAATTACCCTACCCATGATCTGGAGTTGGCAGCCGTGGTATTTGCACTCAAGATCTGGAGGCATTATCTGTATGGTGAGACTTGTGAAATCTTCACTGATCACAAGAGCCTTAAGTATATTTTCACTCAAAAGGAGCTTAATATGAGGCATAGGCGATGGCTTGAACTTTTAAAGGACTACGACTTGACCATTAGCTACCATCCGGGCAAGGCTAACAAGGTAGCAGATGCGTTGAGCAGGAAGTCCTCTGGCACTGCCTCTAGCATCCTTGCCACTCAAAAGGAGTTACTTGAGGATCTTGTGAAACTGGATGTGGAGTTGAGAGTGGACAGCACTACGGCTTATCTAGCCGCCCTCAGTGCACAACTGGCATTAATAGATAGAATTAAACTTGCCCAACAAAAAGATTCCTTCTTGTAGAAGATGAAGGAAAAAGTAAGAGCCGGGGAACCCCACATGCAAGAATTCAGGATTTCTGATGATGAGATTCTGTGGTTTGGTGACAGGCTGTGTGTACCCAGAGATCATGCTTTAAGGCGTGAGATTATGGGAGATGCCCATTATACTAGCTATACAATTCACCCAAGTAGCACCAAGATGTATCGCGATTTATGTAGTACATTTTGGTGGCGGAACATGAAGAGGGAGATAGCTAGATTTGTCTCACAATGCCTGACTTGCCAAAAGGTCAAGGTTGAACACTAGAGACTTCTTGGAAAACTGCAGCCGTTACCTATTCCTCAGTGGAAGTGGGAAAACATCACCATGGACTTTGTGACTGGATTACCACGAACCTTTAAGGGTAATGATTTCATCTGGGTCATCGTTGATCGATTGACCAAATCAGCTCATTTCTTACCCTACCGGACTGGCACCTCCATTGAAAAGCTTGCCAATATGTACATGGAGGAGGTAGTCAAACTGCATGGAGTCCCTGTGTCTATTGTGTCAGATAGAGATACCAGATTTTTGTCTCATTTCTGGACAAGCTTGCAGCAGGCACTTGGTACTCAATTAAATTTCAGCACGGCCTTTCATCCTCAAACTGATGGGCAATTTGAGAGAACTATTCAGACACTTGAGGACATGTTGAGGGCTTGTGTTCTAGATTGGAAAGGTTCATGGGATCAACACTTATCCATGGCTGAATTTGCATATAATAATAGTTATCAGTCCAACATCCGCATGGCACCGTTTGAGGCTTTGTATGGTCGAAGGTGTAGATCAC